GCAAATTGTGAACAACAACATGTAAATAAAGAAGAATCAATGAAATAACAGCTCTGTACAACAATAAGCTGTTAAATTATAACACTTGTTTAATATGATCAGATTATAAACCCCTTCGTGGCTTCGCTCGCGAAAATTTAAATTAAAAAGATAATTGTTTCTGATAGGCCAACAAATATTAAAATACCCCCGCCCCAGCAAACCTGCAGACTAAGCGAATTTCCATTTGCCTGCCTGATTGGATATACACTATAATATCTCCTTAAAAATATCAAATCTATTTCCCTATTTAAATATACAGTAGCATTAGTATAACAAGTACCATACTTAGGTTTGCTGCAACAGGGAGGTTAAAAATAACTGTTTTTATGTTAATAGTTTAGTATGAAATAAATGCATTTTCCAAATTTGGTGAAAATATGTTCATAAACAAGCAAACTACAACAGTTTACGTATTCTCCATAAGAATAACATGGGAATTTTAAATTTACAATTTTTTTGTAATTTTTTGTGTAACTATTAGGCGCATAACAACGCTTCAATATAGAAAATTTGTTTTAGCTCTACAAAATTGTTTGGAATGAAATTGCAAAACTTTATGCTTTTAGGGTATACAATTGGAAAACCCAATTTTTACCCCATAAAACCTCCCATAAACCACCGGGTTTGCCTGATCATGCTGGTTCGCGAACTCGTTCGAATAAATTTTGTTTACATATTTGTACAAAATTTCATCAAAATCGAATCATTTTTGCTCCAGTTATCGTGCTAACCCCTATATGGGAAATTCGCTAAACACATATTAGGGCTAAATCCTTTTATACAGGGTTAGTTAGTTTCCCCCAAAATCCCCCATTTTGGGGATGTACACCAAGTGTCGGTTATGCCCAAAAAGTACTTCATAACATGCTAGGCCTATAAAGGTGTGCCGAGTTAAGTTTTTTCTGGTATGGGCCGTTAAAAAAATAACAGGGGGTCTCCACACTTTTTAACCCTGTATATATATAATCACTTAATTTAGTTAAGCATGTGTGACTAACGAAATTAAAACGTCTTCATTTTACAACATTGACTTTTGAATTTTAGTTTTTAATTTACTTCAACCACTAATACTTTACTCAATCCTCAAAATACTTGAACTCCGATTTTACAACAACATACAACATACTTATCATTCTGAAATTGCATGGTTGTGGCATTGTCATGTCATTATCCCTATACAGTATCTAGCTAGGAATGGATGGGATTGTACTAAAATCTTGTGATCTTCTTTCTTGAATACTAATTATAAATACTGCAGAGCTGAAACAGATACAAATGTTTGTGCTAGCATTCAGGGATAGGTACATGGCGGCGGAGACCCCCGCCAATAGGGAGCATTTCTTTACTCTTTACACCAGAGCCAAAAACGTTGTAAGGAATTAAAATAGATCAGGCAAAGAAAGCTTCAAATGTGAAGCTCATTGAAAGCTCGCTTAATCCTTGCAAGGCGGTATGGAATTTGGTCAACAACAACAACCGTGATACCGGTCAAGGGCTGTCACCTGCCTCTAAATGTTCTGCAAGCTCCGATGACTTTAATACCCATCTCATCAGTACTGCAGTAGGCCTTGTAGGCCCCGCTCCTGTAGATAACAATGAAATAGTCAAAAGCATACAGTCTCCTGATGCCAACCTTTCATCCTGGCAACCTCTTACACCAGAGAGCCTTGTCACCATGGTAGACCATTTTAAGACCTCTCACAGCCCCGAAAATTCGTACATTAGACAATTAGACCAATTCGTATATACCAAGGCAAAAATGTGGTTCGGATTCCACTATAAACTGTAGGTCCCTTGCCATTAGCTGTATGAGCTATCAATTAACAGCTGTGTCTAAGGAATAAGTCGGCCTTAGTCACTAACAAGACTACAATATCGCCCCACTCATCTCCATTCATACTTGGCTTAAAATACCTACTTTGTATGGTCGCCATTTCATTGAAAAGTATTAAAGTATTAAAGACGTTGAATGACTACTGTCATAGTAAAGCACACTATTAATATTGTTGCCATCCCTCTTTGCCAGGTCCTGAACTCTTGCCTAAGTGTCAGAATATTTCCTAGAATCCTAAGGGTGTATACAACTGTCCCCATCTACAAAAAAGGAGATCCAGCAAGTGTACAGAGCTATAGACCCATATCTATTATACCAACCTTCGCTAAGGTAATTGAAACAGCCACCAAACTTCAGCTAGTCTCTTATCTTGAGCTAGTGTACCGGTTGCTCGAATTCGAGCAATTGCTACGTATTACAGGCGTTATTTTAAAACGAATAACAGTCCATAATATAATCAATTTTGTTGCCATCCCTCTTTGCCAGAGCATCTATCTTGAGTGGGACGGGTGGCGTAGTCCTGTAATCCAACTACTAGGAGGTAACGAATTATGGATATTTATAGGCATGCACTGTGGATGCGATACTCCCCAGTGTGGATTAACGTCCGCACGGGTGAGTACTACAACTATCTGCAGTACTATCCTGATAATTAGACCAATTCGTAATTACCAAGGCAAAAATGTGGTTCGGATTCCACTATAAACTGTAGGTCCCTTAGTTGCCATTAGCTGTATGGGCTATTAATTAACAGCTGTGTCTAAGGAATGTCGGCCTTAGTCACTAACAAGACTACAAGATCGCGCCACTCATCCTACACTCATCAGTCATCTCCATTCATACTTGGCTTAAAATACCTACTTTGTATGGTCGCCATTTCATAGAACAGTAGAACAGCAATAACCTGAAATCCAATCTTCAACACGGCTTCCGTAAAGACAGATCAACTGTCACTGCCGTCTCTGAGCTCATACATCGCATTCAACAAGCCTTGATGATACCAACGCTGTTGCCTTGACATTATATATGTAACTTGAGCAAGGCATTCAATTGCGTCTCGCATGACATTCTCCTTGCCAAATTAAATAAATATGGGGTGCGCGGTGCAGTTTACAACACCTTTGTGACATATTTGGAGAACAGACAGCAGATCGTCTCAATATAGCTGGAGCTAATAAGTCCCGAGCGCTCAATGTTCCTCACGGGGTGCCTCAGGGATCGGTTGTGGGCCCTGTCCTCTTTCTGATAGCCATAAACTACCTTGAACTAAGTGGCAATGCACTCAGGTTTGCTGATGACACTACCCTAATTTCTGTTGGTGGCAATCCAGGAACTGCTTCAGAAAGAGCTGAAGTGATGTTTAGGGCAGCAAAAGAATAGTTTGAGACAAACAAATTAAAACTCAACTAAGACAAGACACAACAAATCCTGTGCTCACTTAATTCAAACTTAGCTCGGTACGTTGTCAAGGTAAATCTACTAGGCTTTACGATCGACCCAATGCTGAGTTGGAAAGATCATGTGGATAACGTGGCAAAGAGGTTGTCAAGATTAACACATCTTCTCAGGAAGAACGAGACTAGTTGATAATTTAAACATAAAATACAACACGGGACACGGAACATTCAAAACACGAAATGAAATAACACGATAGCGCTATCATGACACGGCACGGCAGCGGTTGTAGGTAGACTGGACACGGGTTATGTAACTTCGTCTCATCCTTCTCTGTTATCAGCTCGGTGGTCAGCTGTTCCTGGTGAGATAACAGTGTTGAAGAGGGAGTGGGACTTGAACTGTAGTTTATCGTTGAGGATGTATTCCTTGTGTTCTTCGTTTATGTTCATTTTATATATTTCATACTCCTCAAGTGTGTTTAACTTATTACCTTTCCCGCAATAATGTAAAACTTCCAAGCCGGTCTTAATATCACTCATTGAGTGATTACAATCTACAAGGTGTTGAGCAAACGTAGATTTTTGTTTATGGTGTTTAGGATCTGGTCGGTGTTCTTTATATCGTGTTTGGAAGGCACGGCCTGTTTGCCCTATGTATTTACTTGGGCAATCCTTACAAGATATTCTATACACGCCGGTTTTATCTATTTTGTCACCTATCTCAATTTTATTCGTCGTAACACGTACGTTTCTAGTACGTTTCTAGTACGTAACCTCCTCCTCTAATATTTAAATCAAATCGCACCAAAATTAGAATTCACGCTTGAAACAGAAGAATCAGACTGCATACATATTTTAGATTTAACCATAAGGAAGACTGTCGACAGTTTCGATTATAGCATCTACAGGAAAGAGGAAACCAACCACTTCTGTACAAACAAGGAGGAGGTAAGAAGGAGGCAGGTGCCCCCCCCCTACTTCCCGCTTTCTGACTTTAATCTCAGAATTCTATTCTAAGCTTTTTTCTCAGAGAAAAAGAAAAATATTTTTTTACAGTTGATGGCCCTTCAATTCCGTCGTAGTCTTCAACTATTTTTGTAAGGGTCGATTCACACACATCAGTTACGGCACGTCGCAGTCCAGTCACTTCAGGCACGTCATAGTTAACAAAAATATTCTTTATTGGATTTTCTATTGCGCTATCTACACTCATCCGTTGCAGTTCAGTCAGTCACTCTGCCGGCGTCCGTCAGTCAATTTTAGATTTCTTTCCACCGATATTTTTTGATTGTTCGGACGCCTGACGGACCTGTTCGAGGTTAGAAAATAGTGCTTTTGTTATTTAATATTTTGAGTACCGTTTGTAACAATCAACAAGATGGACGATGAAAATTTAATAGACTGAGAAATTTCGGATGCAACTGAAACTGAACTGTAACTGGACTGTAACGGAACTGTTACTGAACTGATATGTGTGAATCGACCTTTATGAAAACAAAAACGTCATCTTAATGAACATAAATAAATAATCTCAAAGTGGGTAAATTAAGAAACCGGAGACACTTTTATATAGTATACTTTTACGTTAGGTCTCATCTATAAACCAAAGAGACGTAGGCTTCATTGCTCCTCCATATCTACGCTGACCAACGTTATTACGTAATCGTTTCTTCGTTTGTTACTGCTCTACTGCTGGCTGATCTGAAAAAAAAAAACTGAGACTGACATTATCTGTCAAGAAGGGGCTGATATTTTAAGTGCCAGTTGTATTATTAATGACGGCGACTTATTTCCTTATTTAATGATTAAATTTAGTTTTGCATATTAGGTAGACTGTTTCAATTAGTTAAAAATGTCAGGGTTTGATGATAATCCATTCGGTGAACCTACTGTTGACAATCCGTTTGCGGTAAGTTGTAAGGTATAACTTAGGTTATCCTGGCAAGATGGCTCTAAAATTCTTGTAGCCTCGCTCATTAATTATGCAACGTTGTGCTTATAAATAGGCCTACACTTCTGTATTATAAATATTGCTTTGTTAATTTTATTGAATACCTGATATAATTAGTGAATCCCCTGTTAGTAATGATACCCTGAAACCCAATGATGAGTCATCAGGTCTAGGCCTAGGCTTAAGTTTATGGTTCTTTGAAATGACATGTTGCTAGAATGATGATTAATTATCGCCTCTATTCTTAATTATTTATGCTGCTAAAAAATACTAGTTAGCCTAAGTAGTATCATTGACTACTGGATTGACAAAATTTTCTAATGACCACACTCAAGTTCAAGTGTACTTAGGCTACATAAGTTAAGTTAAATGCCTAGGCCTTAGGGATATCAGCTTAGCTCGAACCTATGACTAGAATTAACTTAAGTTAGGCTAGTTAAAATTAGATGTAACTTTTGTCAGAATAATGCTGTTCATTATTTAAAAACTGGATTAAATTCGGGTGGATACACTTCCATATCTGTTGGTACAAACAACAGAATGAGTAACTTAATATTGATTATACGATTGTTTAATTTGATATATCGTTTGGTTAGTCAGGTTAGGTTAACGATCGATATTTTCATTCGGTTGTTTTTGCTAACAGATATGGAAGTGTACCCTTAAATGATCCTTAACAAAGGGGTTGGCTGCACTTAAGTATCTTTCCTACACTCATTCGAATTAATAATAACGATCGATATATCGACTAGGCCTAGGCCTATTCGAATATTTCATTCGGTTAGTTAGGTTAGGTTAACCTAACTAACCAAACTTGATTTAAAGAATGAAATAATCGATAACTTAAATTGAAAATTTCATTCGAATGAGTGTAGGAGGGATACTTAAGTGCACCAAGGGGTTTGGCTTGGTGATGAAACTTTGGTGGTAAGCAGTGGCTTAATATCTTAAATTTCAGGTGAAAATCATCTCACTGGGTTAAATCAGTTATAGTCCTCGCCAACCTAAGTTGAGGCAGCCCAAGGCCGCACGGCGTATATCTAGTGCGGCCTTTGGCTGCCTCAACTTAAGGTGGCGAGGACTATGAGTTAAATAGGCCCAATCCTAGATTTAATACACACGTGGGGTAGCCTAAATTTTACCGTGGCTAATTTTTTTAGAGAAAAGGCACCCCAGTGCTTCCACCTACTAAGTAACTTAGCCTCTGAGGCCCACCTTCCAGTTCCCTCATTTATGACTCGATCGTAATACTCTTGTGTCTAGGTTGATATAGCGCCAGTTTTGTAATGATAGATCTTATCTCTGAGGCCTAAATACAGGTTTTGTTCTTTTTCAAATTTATTTGTCTTACTGTAACTTAAGAACCCTAGTTTTAAACAGCGAGGCGTAGCGCCGCGCCGTAAGTTATCACCCTCTCAATGCTTTCGGCCAGACACCTGGAAAGTGGCAATTCCCCATTCACCGCCATCAGTCACTGTCACAGTTGTGCTGGTAACATGTTGCAGTAGTGTACTGTACACTACCGGTATATTATCTAGACATTGTTTTAAATACCTACATTTTTGTACTTTCGTATTATACGGAGGCCACCCTTAACTTATACAGCGCGCTGTGGTGGTTATGTTAGGTTGGGTTATCATAAATATGTTTGTAGGACTTTCCTCGTTTTGTTATGAATTGAGCATTACCATATGAGTCATGCTTTTGCCCGCCAATTCCACTCCAAGTAGGCCAAGGTCAGGTCATTTTCCGTAGCGCGTGACACATCACCTGTCACCGCCTGTGTCTGGGTCAGTGTTCTGAGTAGTGACTCATCTGGTAGGCCTATCATTCAAATTCAACTGCAGCTTTAAATTTTTTTAAAAATTATAAATAAACAAATAATATACAATATTTCATCCGATACGGGTAAAAATCGATACAACTGAAGATAAGATACGATACATGTATCGAAACATCCTGCTCCGATACATATCGATACTGCTTATCGATACATTGACCTGTATCGCACATCACTAGACCTACTGTATATTTACCAAATACCAACTGCACAGTAATGCTGTAAGTAACAGTTTGAAAGTTCATTAGTTCAAGGTGATTCTCTCCTTAACATAAGTTAATCAGCTTTATAAACATGCTGTTCACTTTCCACCAAAAATTATCCTACAACAAACACAGCAAGATTGACTCAATTTCCACATTTCTTTTGGAACAAGAATGGTTCATTGGTTCTGTTTTTTTAAGTTTAGTAATTTTTTTTGCAGGACCCATCAGTGACCCAGGTAACAAAACATGCCACTAATGCTACCCAGGGATTAGAAGACTACAATCCCTTTGCAGACCAAGCACCTCAGAGAAATGCAGCAGTAAGTAGGCCTTGGTTGTTTGTGTTATTTAAGACTTTGAGTTATACTTAGGGAAGTGAACACTGTTAAAAATGAAAATTTAGTTTCAGCAGAAGATGTAAACATAGGGATTAAATTATCTAGGTTCCACTTATCCAAATCTCACTAAAAGAATGGCCGGCTGATCTGAATCACCCATTGCAGGTAAAATCTGGATCTGTTCTGGAAACCAGGAAAACCTCGGGATTGTACATGAATTTTGAAGACCAGGAAAACGTTTGTAAATTGTTCATGAATTTAGGAAGGGACCGGGTTACAATTTTTGAATGATTACCAAAAATTCAACTGAAGTCACAGAAATTTCTCGTTTTGCGTGATTTAAAATCGTGTACTGTAGATAAATTAAAAGCAAAGCTGTGTGTTTCAACTAGATATCAAGGGTATCCAGCCGACCAGAAATCAAGATAACTGGAATGTTTTTTTAGTATAGAACTGGAAAATTTGAAATAAGCTCAATTAAGTAGCCTAACCTAATAGGCAGTAGCCTAGTTTTGAGCTTCAATTCATTAGAATTCTATTGGTTAACTTTTCAGGTTGTATCTTTTTAGAAAGAAAGTGGTCCTGTTAAAATATCACAGGTTTTGCCATGATAGCGGTTAATAAACTCAGATATTTTGTGATTACCAAAGTAATATAGCCGTTTACAGTAATAAAACAGAATATTTTGTTTTTAGATTTCATTGCATTTCTTGGAATTTTCCTAGACTATGGTATAGTATTTTCCTAGTATAGTAGATTGTTGTTACTTTTATTGCAGCCGGTGAGGGGCGCAGCTAACCCACCCTACCAACCCTCCTCACAGCCTGCTATCATGCAGCCCACACAGGAGGTGGCCCCGCCTGCGTATGCCAAGACTGCGCAGCAGACACAGCCCCAGCAACTGTCGGCCGCTGAGTTCCAGGTGAGACTACAGCTTAACCATAAGTCATAGGCCTACCGGTAAGTTACTTCATTTATTAGCAGCGAATTATCCGTACATGATTATATTTTAAAAGTATTTAAACTGTTTGGTGTGTTCAATAATCATTAAATTGTCTCAACGACTGTTGAAAAGTTCATACTAAATATGAACGGATAAATATAACGGATTTCTCTATCACGCACAGGTCATTGTGACCCATGTGATATTTTTATTTTTTTGTATTTATTGCTGCAAAACCGTTTGTAATAAATAAAGAATTTTCTCTCTCTCTCTCTCTCTCTCAAACACATTATCAGTGCTGCCACTTCGAAATCTTTTGAAGACAAACAGCTATCCTGATAGCCTATCTTATAGTGCATACAGGGTTCATCTGACCTAGAAACCGGGAAAAAATATGTGACTGCACGTGAATTTTGTTAAGAACTGGGAAATTTGAATGTTTTTGCGATCCCGGGAAATAACCAGAGGCAGAGGTGTTGACATGGCCATTGAAGGTGATCACGGTCCACTCTGCCAGAAATCTTCATGGACGTTGCTTCGATTGTGGGAAATCAATACAGATGTGCCGCGATCGCAGGAAATCATCACGGTTGTTGCTGTGATCGCGGAAAATTTTTACACCACGCACGCTACCGTACCAGTATTATTTTAATTGGCCAATTTTGTTAAATGTTTGTGTTTTCGTGTTCGTGTCTTCAACGACTCTTCACAGTTATGAAGAGGATTTATGTGTTTAGAAGGAGTTTAACCATGGTATCAGCTTGAAAATGAACCTTTAGGTTCGAAACCTTGGTCGCTGACCTAAAACACAGGATCACGGACAAGTACTACAGATATTTAACCTTTTATTAATAGGTCAGCTTGTAAACCTTTGAAGGATATGAATAGATCAATTAATTGTTGACAGTTTTCTTAATCTAATAGTGTTGCAGACTAGTTTACAAAGAGTGTTTTACTTTTAAGGTATTTAATCTATAATTTTGTAGTTGTTTATCATTGACCTTTGGATAGTCAAAGGTATTAAGCACTCGGTAATATGAATGTTTTGTTTTGTCATCTGCTTTCCAGGCTGAATTAGACGTAAGTAAATACAGTAGTAGGCTAAATATTGTGAAATTTTTACTCTTCATTTCGACAGTTTTACAGTTCTATCATAAGGAAATATTTTTCAAGGACAGCTGTCTTTGCAGTAAAATCAATTATACCCAGTGATTAAGTATATTTTCATTCCATATCCTGTTGTTTGATTAAAACTCTATTTTTAAATGATAGCCTATCATTTATTTGACAATTTACTATTTTTAGCCCAGACAGTTTTTTAAAGTCCGGGCATCTAAATTAAAATTGTAAAGTTTTTAAATTGATGAACTGCTTTTAAGTTTGTATATTGGTGACCTTTTTCGTCCCATAAAAAAAAGAATTTCAATAGCAATCAATTAAATAATTAAGGATATTTTATGTTTACAATTAAGATGTAGATATTATCAGACTAACAGATATCATTGAAAGTTATGATTCTTGGTGCTCATAATTCTAACATGATTTAACTTAACCCCTTGACCTCAATGGAACAGTTTTATCTTGATTTGTTTGTAAAGTTTATACTTATGTCAATGTTTGTCAAGCCTAGACTATGAGGTTATTCAAAACGATAATGCCATTTTTATTTTTTATCAAGCCTAATTATTTTTCATTTTTTATAGAAAAAAAAAGAATTTGGTTATTACGGTATTAAATAGTCGTGTTGTTAGTCGTGTCATTAGTTAGATTATACATTATATTACTCTCTTAAACACTATGTACAGGTCCTAGTAGGAGTAAATGTATACCCTTTATTAAACTATTTAAGTTCTAATCTTAGACCTGTACTTTTAAAACAGATCAACATGTTTGAAATATTGTTTTTTTCAGCGTCGGCAAGAAGAGCTAGAGAGAAAAGCTGCTGAGCTTGCGAGGAGAGAAGAAGAACTCAGGAATGCCCCATACAATGGTGCGTTTTCTAATGGTAATCTAATGCTTCAAAGAATTCCCAACTATCCAAATTCTGCTTTTGTTACTACCTAATATACCATAGGTATATTAAATTGATTTGTGGGGTCTGTACTATTTATTTTGGATTGTACTAGTGTTCTGATTGTTCTTTGTGTTAAAGCATCGTACGTAAATCAACAAATGAAATCTGGATCCATTGTCGTTCCAGTTGAGAATCGAACCAGTAACCTTCGGGTTCAAAAGGCAATCACTCACTACTTCACTTGACTCTAGTCAGTTTCATTATCAACCATGATTCATAATATTTATGATTTTGCAGTGAGGAGAAACAATTGGCCCCCGCTACCAGAGAACAACTGTTGCGGTCTTCAACCTTGTTTCTATCAAGACATCAACGTCGAGATTCCTGTTGAGTTTCAACCAATCGTGCGCAACCTGTATTACCTCTGGATGTGTAAGTTGAGAATAAAACCCTTAAAAAAATATATAAATAACCCAGAAAACACATTATATTAGGTATATATAATTTTTTTCAGCAAAAAACAAGGAATAATATTATATAAATTTTTGATATGAAATTTTAATTTACAAAAAAGATTTTTTAGTATATTTACTAAGCAGAAACTTTTTTTATATATATCCATATATAATTCCGTAATATAACACAAATCAATGAACTAAAAAAAAAAAATTCAAAATATACAAATTGTCCAGAATTCCATGAGGAAAAGAATCTATATACAATACATGTACCTTGTTTCTAAAAATAAAATACATATAACAGTTTTTATTACCGTATACATATTCGGTGTACAACCTACACTAGGCCTAGTACTTGAATTGCATGTCTCCTCGCTACTTAGAATTGGAACTCACTAGATCGGTCACAGTAGTTACAATCATTCATCTTGAAGTGAAATCAACTCACATTCCAATAAAAAATAAAACTTATAACGAAAAACCACTGAAACTAACCAAACACAACACGAAATAAACAACAACAGACGCTCGTAAGCGATTGTGTCACCGTGACAATGTCGTCAGCTGATGCTTTATTTTCATAGAGTTTTAAGTTTTCCCAAAAGCGTATAAATAGTTGAAATGCACATCAATTGACAGATTATTCATTTCTGAACCAAATACTATATTAAGTGATTTTTTTCATTTTCGTGAAAAAATCGGCGATTTCCGTTACGTTGTTAATGCGCCCGATAACGGGCGCTGCCGTTTCGGCCGCGGCGTAAATCGCCCGATATCGGGCGCATGCCAGCTCGAGGGTTAATAAAAACAGTTTTTTCATTATACAAATAATTGACTGTAATAGAAGTTCTATTGCAGATTTTTTCTATTAAGTGATCACCGTGATAAAAAAATGTCTGCAACAACCAATCTCGTAAACAAAATCCATCCTCTCATCCTGAATTCATACCAACCTCCAAAAAGTTTTGTTTTCATTTTGCCTAATTTTCCATTCAGGCACAATATCATCAGGGATTTACCAAATCCCATTAGGAATGGCTGTAATATTTATCACCAACACACCAGTCAGCCTAATTTAGGGCCAAGATGAGTGGAGGATGAGTGTGGAATAAATTATGTTACTGTTTATTATCTTTGCTTAAATAAGATCTGCTGGATTTTTTCTGAATCATTTATCAAACCTGCTGATGGCAAATGGCAGCTGAATACAGTTACAAATCATTCAGAAAGCTTCTAGCTTTTCTCATAATTAATTGATCCAGTAATCTTTTAATGACCAGGCAAGTACTAACCACTCAGCCACCCAGCTATGCAAAGAATATTTACTTAAATTTCTACATTAGCCTATACAATATATAACATCTAATATGTTTGTCTGTTTGTGCAGTCCACGCAGCACTGATGGTGATCAATGTTATCGGAGGTCTGCTCCTCATCCTTCACAACGCAGACTTCAGCACCTTCGGTGTAGGAGTGATATACACTCTCATCTTCACTCCCTTCTCCTTCATCTGCTGGTACCGTCCTATCTACAAAGCCTTCAGGTAATCAACACACAATCATGTACTGAAAAGTATTGTTTATTGGTGACTTTTGTCCCGTTTAACTTCTTAATTTTCAAGATTATCTCGTTCGCATGGCTCAATCACGTCCTGGTTGAAGTTTGTTCGCTACACTCACTCACCTTTAGGTTGGAGCTCGTTCGCTACGCTAACTCGCCTCCAGGTTGAAGTTCGTTCACTACGCTCACTCACCTTTTGGTTGCAAATTAGCTGTTGTCATAAACGTAAAAGAGGTAATAGTGCTGCACCCTGTTGGTAATCCTTGTAACTTTAATGCTATTAAACTTCATAGAACAGAACCAACTTGTTTAATTGAAACAGCTGTTAAGATTCAATAATTCCATTTCTCATAAGGTTAACATGGGATTTTTGAAATAAGAATATGCCTATATGTTAATTGGGAATGTGAGCTATCATCATGCCAAATTTCAGCCCAATCCGACCAGTATTTTTCCCGTTCACTTGTCACAAACATACATCCATACATCCAAACATCCAAACTTTCTCATTTATAATATTACTAGGATTATAGCACTTACACAGCGACGGCGATATAACAAATATGACTTTATTCATGACATACCGGTATCGCCTGTACATAAATCTTGTAAACTCTACGTTATGAAACAATAAATATCATTCATACAATCGTTAAAATAATTATAATTTTTAGTTATGTTTTGCGTTACTGTTATCTGATCTTGTTTTTGATGATATTGGTTGAATAATCGAGCCTCATCTTTATCTATTCAGCTAGTCATGAGTCAAAAATTGTTTGATGGTAATAACGACTTGTTTAGACTCTCCACTGCTGCACCATTGTAGTCTTGATGTAAATCACTGAGGTTCTACTGTAGATGTGTTGTGTTGCAGAAGTGACAGTTCCTTCAACTTTATGGTGTTCTTCTTCATATTCTTCTTCCAGATGGTCATCACCATCTTTCAAGCCCTGGGACTGCCGGGCGCCGGCACTTGGTGAGTAGTTATAACACGTTGTGAGCTCATCCTTATCACTGTGGTCATGTGATCACCACACAGGCCAGTACTGGTGTGATAATGGAAAAGTACTCGTTGCTGTTATTGTGATGTATTTAACGAGCATTTCTTTCAATTTAAGGGGGATTGCTTGTGACTTGAGTAAATAATATCGTTTATCACATGTATGTTACCTAAATTTGAGAATCAATGATGATCTATTAAGCCTACTACACCTTGCTTGTAAATTCATTTTCCCCTCCAAATAGGTAACTTTTAAGACGAGATATTAAAAATATATATAGTATTTTTTTTAACAACTTGATCACAAACCAAGTCAACTGACACTGTGTATGGTGGTTGGACACAAAATTAATTGGGTTAGGTACTGATGTTTACAGATACTTTTTAACTTTTTTAGTTAAAACCAAGCAAAGTACTCATCAATTGAAATTAAGTCTCATCCATTTAGAAGACCATATAGCCAGTCTACTTGATGTGCTTATCCTCAACTATCTATCTAAATAAGATAGTCCTCAATTCTCTAGTCTTTAATACCATAGTAGGTATTTAAAGTAGCATACAAGTTAAAATTATTCTTATGTCTAGCTTATTACATTTTTGATAAATATAAGCCTCTACGACAAGACGAGTTAACTAAATAGGCTGTATAAGCACAAGACTTGCAGAGTAACTAAAGGTGTGAATGATGTTGCAGTGGGCTCGCCACAGCTCTGAAGACCTTTGATGGAACTCCCTCTGGCATTGTGATTGGGATCTTCTTGCTTCTCGTCGCCGCTGGCTTCTGTTGTGCTGCCTTTATTGATTTCCTGCTCCTAGCCAAGGTAAATAAACAAAAGATGATAACTAATTATGTTTGCAGTAACATTACAGTTATTACTTCTTAAATATTATGATATTTTTAGTTAATGTAAACCAAGTCCATTAGATCAGTAGATTATTCAAAAATAAGATTGAATGAGCTACTTGGAAACTCTACACAAGCAGGATGTGCGTGATGCAACAGGTAACATAGTCAGTTCTGCTGTGAACATAAATTCAACCAGCTCTACTATATCCACAGGTACACCGTATCTACCGCTCTACTGGAGCCAGTTTTGCCAAGGCACAGCAGGAGTTCACCTCGGAGATCATGCGTAACCAGCATGTGCGTGACGCTGCTGGTAACATAGTCAGTTCTGCTGTGCAAAGTCAGTTCAACCAACCGCGCCAGCCCTCCTCAAGATACTAACTACCTCAGGTGAGTGTAGAAGGTTTCTAGATTGTTGACATATGATCCTGAAACTAACTAACCTAACTGAAGAGTAATTCCTTTATCACTCACATTTAAGTCTTGTCTAATAGTGATGTTTATGGCCTTTTGAATATTTGAGTGTGTATGAATAAAATCATTAGCCAATTGAATGGTTACCTACGGTCAGTGAAGATCTTTATGATCTTTATGAAGATCTTTCTTTTTCGGGTTCACTGGAAAATCTGGACTACCAAGCTATTTGGTAACAAATTTGCAAGACGTTGCTGTAATAATTTAGATAATTTAGCCTACATCAAAAGAAATGTATCATCTATTCAACTTATAAACATTGAATGAAATTATAATTACATCAAAAATTCTGTTTCAACTAGAGCAAATTTTTTACATTAGGCCCAACTTGTTTTTGGGGCATTCCCACTGACTTAATTCTAGTTTTGATGAGACGTAGGAATTGGCTAACTCAGGAGCTCGCTAACTCGGTCGTGTGTCGGAACTGGCTAACTCTGGAACTGGCTAACCGTCTCAGTCAGGAATTGGCTAACTCCGGAACCCGCTAACTCGATTTTGTCTCGCGGCGGAATTCGCTAACTCTGGAAGTCGCTAACCCGGCCGCGCCCACTGCATGGAGCGTTGCCAACCTTGCACTACAAAATAATCGTACATTACCGTATTTCAAAATATAAGTGTCAATGAAGATACAGTAAATGTAATTGTTTTTGTTATCAATTTCACTTTTAACAGATAACTAGCCCAAAGTAAATCAAAGACAATTATTAAAAAATCATGAAAAGTGTTTTTTTTTTATTTAACTCTACAATGGCCAGTTAAATGTTTATGATTTCGATCTTAAATATAAATGCCATAAGTATAAAAGAAAATAATAGAGTTGAAAAATATTGAAAAGGTACTAAATAATTAAACCTCTACGAAATTAAGCTAAAATACACGCTAGTTCTCAAACACGGAAAACAAATTTAATCGTAATGTCATCAAACATCAACCACCAGTCATCAACCATCGTAACTTTCATAACTAATTCATAGATTTAAAATTAAATGTTCGTCGTTGAATCGTCCAACTTACGTGTAAAAATATGACATTAGACTAAGCTTTTATCTAGGCCTAATAGTTTAAGCCAAAGCATTGTAGGCCTACTAGTAAATAGTTGCCTAATTCTAAAATGTGTTGAATTTTTTAAGTAATAATGTTACATGTTTTAAAACAGTTTTTAGATTGTACGCCTAAGCACCACTAGTAAATAATAGGAGAAGGTATGATACTCATATAATAAAACTTGACAGGTTAATTTTAATTCACGATTCTTAATCAACGAATTGACGGATTTTCTTAGTTGGGTTTCCTTTACATTGGTTTCACAATCGAAATAAACTATACCAAGCCATTGCTCGGTTCACCGTTCCCCGGTACTGAGCTACTCAATAGACAATAGCTTTGTTTTTGGATAAGATCAAGTCATTTTAGGTATGGCCACCATTCATAAGAATTGTAACAAACAAGAACGCCTGGGTCGATTTAGAACCAGCCTGGAGAAAAACTCCAGACTTTTAAAAAGTAGGCCTACTGAAAGTCGTAAAATTAATATTAATTAAACAAAATTAAGAGGATGACCCGGGTTCTACACTAATAGCCTACGATAAAAGAAATTTACAAGTTGTATTTATGCATAGACTAATTTTTAATGCAATCTATGAATAAATTAGGCCTACAACTTTATAATATTGTATTGATAAATATGTATTTAAATTCAATAGCTCTATTTAAAAATATATTACCACTACAATGTATTTCTGGACTGACGTTTAACGTGTAAATTTTATCATGATTTATGATTCAATTTTATGATTCAAGGTTACAAGCCCATTATATAAAATACGAACTCAGTAATTTATTTGCAGAAGTTCAAAAAATTGTATTTATTCGAATAAAAGAAACAAATGGCGAACTACGAAAATAGATATTTCATAACATGAAAAAGATCCAAATTAAATGTACTTTTTTATCTTTTTGCATACCATAAAGCTACTATTTATTGTCGGGACCACATAAGTTTGCAGTTGAGGGAGGAGCCTATTTACCATATGGTTTTCAATGGACCAATGAGAACGGTGTGGTGTTGCCAAATCTAACAATACCAGCTGATTTGAAAGTATAGCTTTGTATATTTTTATTAGTGTTGTGATGTGGCAACGTTGCACTAGCCTCGTCTTGTGATTGGCTGCCACCAACTGCAAACTTACATGGTCCCGACAATAAGTAAGAAGCCCAAATATAAAACATACTCCCATTAGTATATTTCTAATCCTTATGGATCAGCTGAAAACAGTTTTATTGTTAGTTCTGTCCGGTGCACTGTCTTTAGAGGTCGTGTTTTGTTTACAATTGTTTCTTGTTTCCAGTCATTTAAAACCTCGTTTAACCAAATAAAACGTTCTAATCACAACTAATACACGTCCCCTAGTTATATAACCAAACAGTAAAGAGCAAATTATGAAGTTAACTATAGAAATAATAGAAACACAATTTTGTCGACACTAGCGATCAGTGTCACCGGACATGAACTAGACGCGAAAAACGAGCTTCAAAGTTTACAATGGGATATAAAGTTTACTTGTGTTGGTTAGTCTATGGTAAGACTATAATGCATTTTCCACCCTAATAATCATGAGAATAATGTTAAACATACTTCTCAATATATTTATATTTATTTGATCAACTACGTTGCTCTTACTCCTAATTAATCGAAGGATACGACCTTATGGTACCGATACTATATAGGTACTACACTTTCGGTAACACTGGCCGAAAATATTCGTGCTTGGCTCCCATTGGACGGCCCGCGAGGCTTCTGGGAGTTAGCGAGTTCCGCCGAGGGACCGAGTTAGCGACTTCCGTACGAGGACGGAATTCGCTAACCTGGCTCTAGAGCGGGTTAGCGGGTTCCGGAGTTAGCCAATTCCGAAACCGAAAAAGTTAGCGAGTTCCTCTCATCGACCAAATTTGAAGATAGGGCCTTTAACATGGGGTTAGCGAGTTCCAGAGTTAGCCAATTCCGCGGACCCGTTTTGATTAGTTAACCACATATTTCATTGTTTGTATTTTCCAGGAGAAGGAGTGAAATGGTTCCAACCCAGCTAACTAGACCACTTTTGGTCTGAATGCTTTCTCTATATGGTTGATGTAAGTTATGTATAGACTGGCTATAAAACATTTTGATTTGACATCTGATAAACTTGTCGATTGTCGTAGGCTTTATTTAAGTTTTGCCTTCTTATTTCAATTATTTATTAGTATTAGTCATAAAGTAAGTTATTAAAGACAAGCCTGGTTTGCGTATAGTAAATTTATTATTAATGAGTAACCCAAAGATGAAGGAAAACTTTCAAGTTGAGACTTGTAGTAAGGCTATAATGTACTTACATTGTGATGAGTTAAAGGTGTTAAGTTATGTGTAGTTTGTTTCAACCACCACATTATTTATGTGGTTTGTTCGTTTGGAAACATTGTCAAAATGTTTAAATAAATGTGTTTTTCCAGTAGACTTATTTCTTGCACCACACACTTGAAAGCAGGTTTATAAGTGCAATCGTCAATATCAACGTTAAGTCATTATGTCGCTTCTGTTCTATTTTTCATCTTCAATACTGTGGCACAAAATTTTAAATAGGCTTACAATTGTGGTATCAAGATTGTGCAATAATGTTTATTTCTTGTTCATCTGTAGGTTATTAATTGTGTCTGGAAACCAATGTAACAAAAGTATTTAGGTTTGATACTGTATTCTGTTTACTGTATCACCAAGGCAATGTTACACGGTTTTTGAAACTTCAAGTAATTGATCTCCAGAATATATAGAATACTTTATGAAGTTTTAAATAATGATAATAAAGATTAATTTACTATTCACAATTTTATGCGATACAGGATCTATATTTTCATTGTTCCGGTATTTAGAAAGAATTGTGCCATTCCACTAAACAAATTAATTCATCTATTGATTAGAAGAGTCTATCTTACGACTATAACATATGTCTTGTACAAAGCTAACAATCATAATTGATAACAGATAAATGTACCATGTATAATTGTGTATCGAAAAATGTCTAGTTATATGAATGTACGCATTGTTATATTTTATTAATATATGAAAGCTTGACACGTGTATATAATGTTACAATATCAATCTATAATCACTTTTAGTATTTTATTAGTTTGCTTTTTGTATATTACATTTTCACTTTACCCCGTTATTTGTTAGGATTATGACTGTCTGTTCCCCTAGTATGCTTTTCACAAAGTAATTTGTTGTCACCTAACATTATGTTTTTTATTATAAAATATATTAATAAAAGTGGGCTTTGTTGTTGTTTATTTCACACCTCAATTCATCCTTAGTACTGTATAGTTATTTCGTTTTACCTTCGTACTTTACTGTACATATAACGCAGATCACAATATTAGATCAAGATTATTGTACAGAAGAATCCCAATATCATTCCAACTCCACTTGAAAACAGTAATAACTATTATTCAAATCTTTTGTTTGAGCCCTGGTTTGAAGCTAAAAATCTCATTTGTTTGCCTTTTTCATTGTGAATATTGTGGTCCAAAATGGATACCTGCCACCTGTTAAAGCAAAAAAACATTTTGAAATCGTTCAGTGTGTTAAATCAGTTCATGCGACCCATTTATTTTTTGTTTTTATGTATAGACTAGCTGTACCCACGGGCTTTGCCCCGTTTAACTTCATAAGTATTCGCATGGCTCAATCACGTCCCGGTTGAAGTTCGTTCGCTACGCTCACTCACCTTTAGGTTGGAGCTCATTCATTGCGCTCACTTGTTTTCAGGTTAGCTCGTTCGCTACGCTAACTCGCCTCCAGGTTGATGTTCGTTCGCTACGCTCACTCACCTTTTGATTGCAAATTAGCTGTTGTCATAAATTTTAAAAAGTCATCCCTTTTATTGTTTATAATACTTTGATAAAGGTTTTTATGTTTTAATATTTAACATTGGAGAATTTAAACGTTGTTAAGTGCACAGGTGTGCTGCGATTGGGGTTTAATACATTTGGATTTATTCAAAAGTAAAATAGTTTTCTGTGCTGCACTCTGTAGAAACACTGTGGCACTATTTCAAATCATGACTAATGCCTAATGCTAATACAGAATGTTGTAATTATTCAAACCTACAAAACAGTTGGTAAAATTAAACATCTGCTTTTAAGTTATATTTATTTGTAAACATTGTAGATCAAAAAGTCTGACATTGGCCCACTTAAAACCCTCTGGGGCAGAGCCCTTTTGACAGATCTGCACCAAACTTCACTCGAACCATCCTTGAAAGATGCTTAATAATGCCTGAAAGTTTCATTACAATCTGTCGAGCGGTTTCGGAGTCCATAACGTATATACATACACACACACATACATAGTTCCTCTTTTATAGATATAGATTCCAACAGAAATGACACAAAGGTTTATACGCAAACTTGTTCATTCCCCTGTATAAAATGATATTGTACTGTGCTGTATCAATTTGGCTTGTACATTATACAAATTCTATGGTTTTAATATATGCACTTACTTAAGATCTAGAGCTTTAAAAATAATATGCCTAAGAAAAAGTGGTTTCATTCATCATTTAAGACACAAAGACAGACGTTAAAGGCTATAATTTTGAAAAAGCAATATTACACTTTCCAAAATTTAACATAAAAAAACCATAGTATCAATTTTTTTGTATATGGCTTTAAATTTTACTATTATTTTTCCTTTGATAAACAAAATAAAAACAAGATTGTGATTAATACCTTTGTTTATGTCAATGTTCACCTATTTGGGGCTTAATAAACCAAGCAGAAATGGGACCAAATTTCATCTTTCACCCTGTCTGGAGAGTGGCGGGGTACGGCCCTCTAGGGAACCATTCCGTCATTCGCCTACATGAGGAAATAAACAATACAAAACTTTCCTCAGACAGAATGGTCTGTCTGATAACCAGTCGTAACAATGTAAAGTAGCATTATTTGTTATCATGATGCTACTTCACCGAGTGGAATTAATATTAATTACAGAGATACAAAATACTACAGATACATAAAATATTCTATAATACATGAGCTACTAATACTAGATAGATTCTATACTTTAAATTACTCATGTCTTCTAAAGTATCCGTACTTTTTTTCTTCTCTCGCCGCTCTGAAGGCCTTGTTGATAGCTCACTCTGTTGATGGATATGTTTCCAGTTTATTTTTCTCAAAGTTTTTAGTTCCAGTTTATACTGGGTGTCCCATAATACTCATCAGCGTTAATTTCCTTGTTTAAAGCTCTTCAAAATGATGTGCTACTTAATAGGGATTACCATGTTAAAGTTACCTCCAGCAACCCCTATTTTGGGGGTGGGGGGTGAATTTTAAGATATCATTAAAAATTACTTTACATTACCCTAGTAACGTTTATCAAAGCTCGTTTGAATATATGCAGCTGTTCAAAAATTAACTAGAGGGGGAGTAGTATGGGACACCCAGTTTATCGACCTCATGCTTCTACGTTTCTTTCTCGTGTTTTCTTCTTCTGACCTTTCACATCTTTGAATTGAATTTTTGCTTAACGTGTTCTTGATGTGTTAAATATGTATATTTATATTAGATTAAGAAATTTCATTGTATTTTTATTTATTTATATTTAAGTTTGTCAGGTTAAGTGTAAGAGAAAGCCATGTGGCCCTAACTTTGCCTGGTAAAATAAAGAATTTTTCATTCATTTCATTCATTCATCTTTGCCATATTATTGGCTGCTTTGTCTAAGTATCTTTACATGATCCACCCAGTTGAACAACCCAGTTTCAAGTGATAGGGCCAAAGAGCCTACAGTATCAACCACTCCATAACTTCTACAGCTAACTAGGTACCTAACAGGAGTCTCCAAAATGTTGTCCTTTGCTAGAGACCTGATCGGAGCAATAGTGAGAAAGATACGGACCTAGTTTGGGAAAGATGAGCGCAACATTTCCTTCTTTGGTATGGTGTGATTTTTTTATTTTCATGTTGTTTTGTAAAAGAAATCTGAAAGCTTAGTAAAATAAGGAAATACCTAACTGATTATTCCTAAAAGTTATTAAATAAGTCACTGTTTAGGAATGATTCCAGCTTTGGACAGCCCAAAATATCTTACAAACCATATTAAAATTGGTTCTTACCCCAGAACAAGATAGGATTCACCCTCTGTCCCTTATGTCCTGAAGATGTTTCCTTTGTGAAGCCCATGTATGGAGTTATAATTTATAATCCTAAGATATATACTTGACAATGTAAGCTACTGCATTTAAATAGTACAATGACCAACACCAATATGAAAGGAATCAGGATGAATAAGACTCATGTAAATATTTGGAACCAATATGTAATTTCTTGTTTACTTAACTGATGAGTAGGCATGAACTTTTACCTTTGAATACTGATAGAATTTGTCATTTATTCCCATTATGAAGTTTTAGTCAGTTTTAGATAGAAATTAACATTTAACAATTTAACAATTTAGGCACTAACAAGTGTGTGCTGTGTAGGTCTAATTACTGATTTCTGCTGTGTTACATACACCAAGTCAAGCAGAATGGTTGATTTTTTGTAATCTAGAACTACTTTATCATATTAATTATGATAGTATCCAACTTAAGATAGAAAATCAGATGTTGACAATAGCCAGGGTGTCCACATTCTGGAAAGTCAGGGATAGTCATGGGAAGAAGTCATTGAAATATGCAAAAAGTCATGGAAATCCCCAATGATGGATGGATTTGAGTTATAGTCGGCCGTAGCCCCGACTATTGTAGCATTTTCAGAATTTTTCACAAATGTTCGACCATTCAATTTATTTCAGTTGTATATTAGTTAATGAGTTTTGAGTTTGTATTAGTTCATTAATTGTTGTACCTATTGTACTCCATTGTTATCTGTTTATATATTTCAGTATTTTCTGCGAAATAACCTGTCCAGGCAGTATTATTCAAGTGTATGTTATATTATAATTTTTGAGTAAAGTTCGTGAGTCATGAAAATTAATGACAAATTTTCTGTGGCACTGGCCACCCTGATACTACCTTAATATAGAAACACTAGTGTACCTGTTGCTTGAATTCGAGCAATTGTGAAGTATTACAGGCTTTATTTTAAAACGAACAACAGTCACAATTTTGGATGACTTTAAAATAGTTGACTCAAATATTATAGAAAAACTCACAATGTACATAGTACGTAACAGTTCAATAATAAAAATTTCTTGAAAGTACCTATCTTATCATTTTTCAAAAGCTGATCTTGTTTTTTAGCGTTTTCTACAAATGTTTTCCACTCTTAGCCGCATAGGTTGTCCACAATAACGATTATAATTTTTTTTTTTTATATTTCTATTTATTCTACTTGATGGTGTTCTATGACTTTCCTATGTTTCCATAGTTTTCAAAAAGGCTCTTTCAATGAGTGCTCAAGAAATACAGCACAGTGTTAATTCAGTTTTCTTTTTAGTATATCAAATTGTACAGGATTTCTGGCTTTTTCCATTGAAATATTTACGCCAACCCAAATTCAAATAGTAAATATTTTATTTCAACCAAGTTAGTAAATGTTTGTAGCACACGTTTCCTTAAATTGCAACTAAAATGTAAACAGCAATTAAATTATCCAGCTGATCATAATGTAAACAAATATGTTCTTCATAAGGATACCATGGGCACTTTTAAAGCCACTGGAGCAGAGCCCATGCAAGGGAATTAAAAAAAATGTAAGGTCAGTTTCCAAATCTACACACCTAGACGAACGGGTAGCATATTAATAATATAGATTTCCGGACAGCCTAGAGCTGCAGAGCTTTGTACAAAATACTTTTTCAACAATAGATTTTTTTATTTTCTAAAATTAATATTGTACACGTTTACGGGTGACGATAATGATGTTTCCGTGTGATGTGTCACGATTTTGGTGCGATCACAGATGTTGATAATGTTCCCGTCATAGCTTGAGATACGATTTTACATTTTACCACATCGCGAGTGACGATAGTGATTTCGCCGTGATCGCAGGGATGATAAGCATTTTGGCATGTTTTCAGAAGTTTAAAATCTTAACCATGCCATCTGTGTATATTTTAAACATCTTAGTATATGTCAAACATAATATCAACTCTTTTGCTCCTCAAAATACTCATCATGATCACCTCACTAGATTTAGACAAAACCTTGTTACTTTTTTTACTTCATATGTAAGGCGTGCTGGCGTGCAAAAACCCGGCATTGTCATTATCATCGACTCGCTGTTTATAATAAACTCCCATTAGCTATTAGAAATTTGCCACTCAA